GTCTTCGGAGCCTCGGTGCGGTCGTACCACCCCAGCTGAGCATGCTCGCGACTTTTGGGCGCTTGTGCTTACTGTGGAGCGATTGTGTACCCTCAATCGCATCTGCAAGAGCTTCGCTTACGAAGCTTTGATATGTTTCCAAGTCTGGCTCATATCGCTGTCGGAATTTGTCATCCACGCGGCTAAAAAGCGACGGCAGCTGGTCCAGGTAGTCGGCCCATATTCTCCAGTCCTCTTGAGTGGCTGGCGGATGCTGGAAGTCAGGTTCTTGGCAAGGTTTGTTCTCCGGTTTTTCTTCCTCGTCGTCGTCCTCCTCGTCGTCGTCCTCCTCGTCGTCGTCGTCCTCCTCCTCCCCCTCCTCCTCCCCCTCATCTTCCTCCCCCTCCTTTTCCTCCTCCTTTTCCTCCTCCTCCTCTTCTTTCTCATCCTCTTGCTCGCTTTCCTGGTCCTCCTCCATTGATGGTGCTGGTGCCGGTTCTGGTGCTATTGCTGGTGTTGGCTCTGCAGGTGCTGGTGCTGTTGCTGGTACTGGCTCTGCTAAGATCTTTTCCCACTCTTGTGGCCCGTGCGCCAACTGCAACAGATGCCGACACCGGGCCCATACGCCGCCATCGTTCTTGCCCTGTGCATGAACAAAAATTGGCCCGAAAATTTCCGGACAGTTATTTATCCCCATCTCTTTCAGCTCCCTAACTATAATGCCGCTCTCCAAATCTGCTGTGCTTGGCATCGACGTCATTATGTGCTGCAACATCACCCTCATAGGTTCGTACTCAGCTGCATTCCTGTCATTGAACGTTGCAAACAGCCATTGCTGTAATTTGTTGCACTCTGTGGGTTCCTCGGTGTCCATCCGTGCTGGATTCGATAGGTGGTTATCAATCTTACGCATGAATGTGCTCAAACTCTCTCTCGGACCGATTCCTTCTGGCCCTTCTGTTGCAGGCGCTGCTGCGAGGGGCTCCTGAGATTGCGTTGGAAACATCATTTGACACCATTCATCGAGGATGTTTTCATCGAGCATGTTTTCACACCATTCATCACTCTCATCCTTCTTGTCCTTCATTGTTGTCATCATCCGTACAAGTTTCGTCGCCTCCCTCCTCTCACTATCCGTGAGTTCTCGTCCCAGTTGCGCTTCCACGACACTTTTTATCGCTGGGTCCTTTTAATAACAGTGGAGCCAATTGTCCTCATCTTTGAGCCAAGTTAATAAATCAGGGGGAAGCCCAAATTGTGGTTCTTTCGCTGGCGGTGGCCCTGGTGTTGGTGCTGGTCCTTCATCATCATCATCATCATCATGGAACAGGAGCGAACTCTGCACTTCTACATATTGTTCCATTATGTGGTTCCAAACAACTTGGTCGTCGAGGTCTACGCGATCAAAGGAGCATTCGCGGAATGCATCATAAAGCCACTGCCATTCACTGGGTCTACATCCTTGAATTGTCAGAGAACGTAAACCCTGCTCATCTCTTGCCTTGGCGTGAAACAATAGGAACTGTCCGATTTGCCTGCTCGGCCACGCTTCCTGCTCCTGTTCGTGTCGCTGCACCGCGGCGTTGTAGGCCGCTTTTACCTCCTTCTGATGATCCTCGTCACGCTCATCGAAAAATTCGGAATTGGATTCTAGCCCTGCCACTGTTTCAAATATCTTAGCCCAGGCGTCGAGGTCGTGGTCGTTAATACGCTGGTACTCTTTACTCTTTGCGAGCTGCTGGATGAAATCCGTTCGCCTCTCTCGGTATTGCAACCCTGCTGCTCGTTGCCTACGCACCTCTCTGTTTACATCTCTACAGCGACATGATTCCCAGTCGCCCATATTTCTCGATAAGCAGTGACCCCTCCTGCCGCACTCTTGACATTTCGGAACTCTGGTTCTTTTTTGGCAACCATCTGCAGCAAGAATAGATCAAATACAAAGAAAATATAAAGGGGGGGTACCTTTAGTATTTCTCTCAAATGCACTGATCAACCGTTGGTTTTTCGGAGGCCTGCCCCTTTCTCGGCGCGTACAGAAAGGGTAGGTCAGCGTGTCGTCGATCAGTCCCTCGTGCCTGTGTCAAAAGGGTAAGCCTGTGAGTAAAAAGCCCCCCCTCCCCTCACCTTGTTATTTCAGCAGTTGTTGGAATTCTTAGTTCTGGCACCGCGTACTGGGCTTTGTAGCCTTCCCATGTGTCCGCTGGGTGAACTACTCTGCTCATCGAAATCTGGAATTCAGACACAAGGTGCCACGCATGCATGCAGGGGCTTGCATCTGCACAGGGTTTGGTGACACACAAGTGGCATTCGCACGCATAGCCGGGGTTCTTGTCAGCAAGAAGTCGCAGGTCGACCTTGTAAGTCCTGTTACTGATATGGCAGCCAACAGTACCAATTAGTTCCCCTTCTGAAGGCAGTGGTCCTCCAGAGGTGTATTCTGAGTGCAGCAGGCCCAGGAGTA